CATGCACTTACATTTTCACTTGAAACGTGTCTGGATTGAACATCTTTTGCAGATATTTCTCCAGCATTGGTTGAAGGATAACTAGCCTGCTCTCTATCTGTGCAACCTGAGTGCTGTTTGATTCTTGACCCTTATAAGGACATCGTAACCTTATTTACTGGTAAGATGTGAGAAAAACATTATGTGACGGCTAAATCTTCTGAAACCTTGAAAATTTGATTGCTAGATATGGAATCTACAAAACAATTTGAGCAACTTTACGATCAGGCCTGATACTCAGTTATTTTGGCAAATAAAATGTTACTATTTAAAATATTGAAATCCTTCCATACGGGCTGTTAAATGTCCCCTGCAGTAAGTCCCCCCGTCCCCACATCCTGCCCCTCTACCTCAGCTGCTACAGTTTTTTCCCAAAACCATTCCTTCCTCCCACCACCATTTCACCAGAACCTAGCATCAAAGAATTAGTACTTGGCCTACCAGGCCCCCAAGACCCTGCTCTAGTGCTGGTGCCCCATGGCTGACTTGACTTCCCATAAGTTGGTTGGCAGGTGCCCTGCTGTTATAGGTTGCATAGTTTTCCTATCACTCCTGTGAGGACTTCTTGCTTTCCCTACCTAGCACTTGAACAACGTTCAAAACATTCAGTAAACAGCTCTGAAATCTTAGAAATGAGGTTCTATTTGGAATAGTAAAAGTAATTGGGTTGACTTTAAGATGGTAAGAGTATCAGGCCACCTTCATCTGGATGAGTGCAATATTCTTTATTATTATTATTGTTATTATTATTATTATTATTATTATTATTATTATTTTTGGAGACAAGAAAAGTAATAAGAAATAGGGACTCTGGTCTTTTATTTCTTAATTTTTTTAAATATTTTATCTTATTTTATATTTTATTTTATGGGGGGGGACTCTGGTGTTTTAAAATGTAAAATCCAATCTTCCTCCAGACTTTGCATCATGTTCTTATTCCATTCCAGTTCCTTGAGGTTCACAGAAATTGAGACCAGGAAAAGCGGAGGTAAGAGCAGGTTTCCGGCTTCCTCTTTGAGATGCCTTTAGGGCCCCCTAGTGGCTGTTTTAAGACAGTTTTGTTTTGTTTTGTTTTGTTTTAGGATTAGGTCTCCTTGACCCTGATTTTAAAAAAAAAAAAAAAGGACCTTTCTGAATTTCTCCTGTGACAGGTGCAATAAGTGTGTGGAGAGAAATAGATAACGGTTAGTTTAAAGGGCTCAATATTTTTTCACTTCTCAGTTCTTAGCAAAAGCAGTGCAGAATCTTTAGAAATAGATATATCACCTTACATATTTTATGCTGCATTTCTCATACTATATTATGTCATAGCTGAAGTCCTTTTAAGACATTTCCATCCTGGTTTGTGTCAAAGGGCTATAATTCATAGGTAAGTACATCTTACCTTAGGCTTTATACACACACACGCACCTATCCATCCCGTTGGTGGGGCAAAGGGATTCTTTTTATGTAGGGGCTTCACATATTAACAGAAGGGCTCCGTTTGTGGAATATTTCACCCTGACAACATTCCTATCATTTAGAACATTAGATATGCCACTGAGTTCAAACACTGCAATACTGAACTGATAGAGCAAAGCTTTATGCATTTAAGGTGCCTATTGACTGATGCAAGTAATTTTTGTGAGATCCTCTAATCATGAAATATGTCTTCAATGTATCTTATTGACCAGAGTGAATATTGCTCCCTAGCTCACTATGGTCCTATTTTTCTTTCTAAAATCCAGTCTAGACAATGCACTACCCTTCGGTAATTATAATTGAGATGTTTCTTTACCAGATGCTTATCTTTTAGTTTAGTTTCTGATATTATTCCATTATTTCTCCTTTACTTGTAAATTTCAGGTCTCTCTCCCCTTCCTCAGTCACGTTACCATTATTAATATGTAATATATTGTAATAATGCATTTTACACCACTAACGAAGTGAAGCAAAGCAAAGAATAAAAAGCAAGCCCAAATTCTTGCTTTAACTTTACCCGGTTCCAGGGCGGGGGTTGGAGAGGGGGAGGAGGAAGAGTAGGAAGGACGGTCGACCCGCAAAAAATAAAAATGATCTCCTTGTTTTCAGCGCGTTCTAGAACAGAGCTGCACGTCAGAGGAAGAACCGAGCAGCATTCGAGCTAAAAGGATTGGCATTAAACTTTGACACTTTAATGGTCTCTAGGATATTAGATAATATTTTATCATATACCGTTCTTCTCCGACACGGTAGTGACATCAAAACCAGATACGATCTCCTATCCCTGCAAACGTGAAGGGTGAGACTCAGCCCCGCGGAGATAAGGCAGCAGGACCCCAGCTTCACAGTGAACTTATCCTGAAGCTCCAGAGCAAGCGTTTTTTACTTCTTCGCCGGGGACGCTGCTGTGTAACCGCTACCTTCTTTTCGCATTCTCCTCTGCTCGGTCTGCCGCTGAGATTAGGTAAACAGCGCTCGGGAGCTGGGGAAGAGCGGGTGGTGGTGCACGAGGGGTGGGGGTGGGGGGCATTGGGGCGGGGGGTCGTTGCCTAAAGAGGCTGGAAGGAAGGGAGGGCATGGCGGAAGGGTCCCGGCTGGGTCGAGCTGAAGGCCGAGAGCGGGGTTACTTGGCGGGAGCCAGGTCCCGAGCGGAGTGAGGGACCAAACCTCCGAAACCCTTGGGCCCCCAGCCTGACCTCTGGGGAGTGTGGTCGGTACCGCAGCCCCAGCTCGGCGTCCTTTCCTTATGCACTCCTCCTCTGCCCCCCTGCCTTGCACTTTATCTCTGCTTTTGCATCCTTTCCCTGCCCCTTCCGAGAGTAAGGTGGGCTTCCCGTTGCCTCATCTAAGCCCTAGAACCGAGAAAGAGAGAGAGGCACGCGGAGGCGAGGCTGGGACCCGGCGCCCGGCGGGCCGGGGAGGGGTGGGGACCCGGGAGGGAAGGGGACCCCAGAAGCCCTGGGACGAGCTGAGGAAAAACCCGGGAGCTGGATCGCGCGCCGGAGCTCCGGTCTCCCAGTCAGAGTTGCCCATCCCTCTGCGTCCTTCTGTGCCGGCCTGTTCTCCCCTCCTTCGGGTTTTTCTCTCCAGGCCTCCTCCTTCCATCCATTGTCACACCCCCGCCTCCTTTGCCCAGCCGATTTCACCCACTCCTTCCGTAGCTTCGTAGCTTCGGAGGACTCTCGGCGCCCCACTCTCGGCTTTAGGGCTGGGAGGCTGGAAGTCCATTCAGTGGGATGTCGCGCGCGGGGCTCTTGTGCCAGGAAGGAGAGCAAGAATGAAATCGGAACGGGGAGGGGCGTGTTGTGCGTGCATGGGTGTGTGTGTGGGGGGGGGCAAAGAAATGCAGTTTCCCCGAAAGAACAGGGAAGCTTGGACCGGATTCTTGGATACAGAGCCGCAAAGAATGCTGTCAAAGCCCTTCATCGTGGCTCTCGCAGCCTCAGGCTGCCCCATACCCTGCCCACCTCGGAGAGAAGCGGCGACCCGAGTAGAAGTGGAGGCGGGGAAACTTCCTACTTCCCACGACGGCGGTTTTGTACAAGGGGGAGTGGACAGGCTGCACGGCCCTGCGAGCCTGCCGGCGTCTAGACAGCGGCAGCTGCGGACCCGTCCCTCTTCCCTTCCCCCTCTTTCCGCGAGGCTGGCCAAGCCTGAGGCGGCCGGGAGCGGCCGGGGTGGGGGGAGAAGGGCGGGGAGCTCCCAGCTTGCACCCTTTCATCCGGACCCCGGCCGGGATCCCGGCTCCGGATGTTGCATCCACCCGCGTGCAAGCGAGCTAGAGAAGTAGAAGGGAGGAGCCTCGCGGAGGGGGCGGAGCCCAGGCGGGGGTGGCCTCGCAGTCCGTGCAACTGCGGCGCCTGCCATTGGCCGGCCGCGCCGTCACGGGGTGGAGGCGGGCGCCGAGGCGCGCGCTGGCCCCGCCCCCGCCCGGAGCCCGGCCCGGGCTCGCGGTCCCCCCCAGCTGCACAGACATGACACAGACACACAGTCACTGCAGCTGCTGAGCGAGCCCGGCGTTCTGGGCACGCGGCGGCGGGGCCAGCCCGGAGCCCGGACCCCAGCGCCCGCCTGCACCCCCCTCCCCTGCTGGCCCCCGCGCGGCGGCCCCCTCCTGGCCGGGCGCGGGAGGCGGGGATCGCGCGCCGGCTCCGGCCAGCGGCGCCCGGCTGCCGGCGGCGGCTACAGCGGCCGCCCAGCTCCGAGCGCCGGGCGCTCGGGGAAGCCGGCGCGTCTCGGAAGCGGCGGCGGCGGCGGCGGCGGCCGAGGCCGGCGAGCGCTCCCGGCGGCAGCGGGGCCGCCCGCCTCGGCTCCCCGCACCCACCGCGCTGCGCCCCGCCTCCGCTCCGGTGACCTTCCCGGGGCGCCTCCCCCGGCCCCGCGCCCCCGGCCCCGCGCCCCAGGCCGGGGCGAGGCCCTCTCCAGCGCCTCCTTCCCGCGGAGCCGCGGGCGGGCGGCGCAGGCCCGGGGGGAGGGGGCGCCGCGGCCGGCTGCAGCCTCTCCGCCGCCGCTCTCGGCGTCCGGCCCGGTCGGACTGCCGCTGCCCTGCCGCCGCGCGGAGCCCGGGCGCCCGAAGCTGGGGGCGCGGCCGCGCTCGCCTCGCGGGGCCGGGAGCGGGCAGGCCCTGCCCTGAAGGGGCGAAGCGTTGGGGAGCGCGGGAGGTGGAGCCGGCCCCGGCGGCCGCCCCGCGTCTCTCCCCAGCGCCCCCTTCCCGGACCCAGCCCGCGGCGGACGCAGGCCCCTGCCCATGAGGGGCGCCCCCGGCTCGGAAGAGTCCTTGGGGCAGGGAGCAGCTCCAGGCAGCGGCGCCGGAGGGAGAGAAAGAAGGGACAGTGCTCAGCTTGGGCGGCCCGGACCCTCCCCGCAGCGTTTGGAGCCGGGGGCCGCCCCGAAGTCTGCGCTTGGCACCGCCGCTTGAACTAGGGCAGCGCCTGCTGGGACCCCGACCCGGACTCCCTGCGCCTTGTAGGCGGCGGCGGCGGCCGCGCCGCCGCGCCATCCAGCTCTTACGCGGTCTCCCTGTGTTTGGCGGCAGTCACGGCCAAGGTAAGAGCCCGGGGGTGCTTGAGAGCCTCGTCGGGGGCGCCCTGGTGAGCGGCGCCGGACAAGTTCTCCGAACCTGTAGCTGGTATCCCCTGTGAGGGCACAACCTCAACTCCTGGGTCAGGAGCCCTGGACAGGCCGGAGATGCAAGTCCACAAGTCTCTGATGTCCCCAGGACCCTTCTCAGGGACTGCCCCGCTCCTAGGCACGTAGGCTGCTAACCGGGGGCAAGGAAGGAGGAGTTTCCCGTCCACACCGGGAGGTGGTGTGCCCGAATCTCGCACCCGCCCTCCCCCCCCAAGTCCCCGCAGCTTGTTAGCTGTGGGCACCTGTGCTTTGGGGATCCTACTGTGTTTTTCGCTGTCCCTCTTGGGTGATCTTCACCTGCCTTTCCTGGTGTGATGCTGTAAAGAACTTTTCTTTGCTCCTTGTGGTGGAGAGTCAAGGCGATTTAGGGTGAGCAGCCAGAGCTTTCTAGTCCCTCTATAGGACAGAGTGGTTGGATGGCAGCGCTCTCTGTAGAGAGGAAACCTAAGCAGAGTGGCCGTCCTGTTAGACAAAGCTGCTTATGATGAGTGATCAGTGTATGGCGATCCAGGCATTCCTGTGACTGTCTCTGTTGCTGAAGGGTGCAGTGACTGACTCCAAAGTTTGTGCATCCTTAAGTTATTTTGTTTATTGCTCTATTACCTTCTTTAACATTTTCCTTTTTAAGGAACCTCAGTCCTACAAGGCTGTCCTTGCCAGTTTGAAATTTATTAAACCTTTGAGATTTCCCTGGAACAATCTGATTTTAAATGGGTCACTTAGGAGGGAACAGATTGTCTCTCTTACATTGAATCCATCCCCCGGGTGACCCTGTTTAATGGCGATAGATTTTTCTCGTCCCTGAGCTGATGTACCTCGGTTGAGCAGGTTTCTGTTGAATTCCGAATCTGTGAATTTTGTCACTCGGTCCATTAAAATGATCTCCTGAGGGAGCAAAATAGCAGCTTACATTTTCTGTGAATGTCACAGGAAGTTTTACAGGGTCTTATGTAAGTTCCCCAAGAGAGCACTCAGGCTCCTGCTTCCTTCTTGGGGGGGTATGAGGTGGGGCAGCAGGTGGGGCGGTCACCTCCCGTAAATGCAGATCGGTCCATCTCTGACACAGGTGGAAACCCAAAGTGCTTATTCACTCCGTGGATGCAGTCACTTTAGGCTCATTTTTCTCCTTACGTCGCTTGTCTTCCCTCCCCAGGAGTCAGCTTTGGTAGACTTAAGACAAGGGAAGGTCCTAAATTAGGAAAGGAATAAGTGGTGTTTTCTTTTCGCATCTCTCACAAATGGGTGACATGAATGAATTACTCACGGGCATGAGTCCTCACTGGGGATAACAAAACAAAACAAAACAAAACCTGGCTTTACGGTTTCACACATCTTAGTATACCTTTATATTTCAAGAGTGTTTTACTTCAGTGAAAATTGTTTGAGGAGAACACACGTTTATCGAGGCTGGCCCTGTTAATTCCACACCAGGAAGAAAACTAATTGGAACAGAGAGGCAGAAGTTGTCAAGATTTAGATGTTAGTGGGTTTTCAAGTAGTGGCAAGGACAGGAAACAAATCTGCCCAGTTGGATAGAGAGGTGTTCAGAGCAAATGTGGGATCACTCTGGAGTGGGCAGTCATCCACTGACAAGTGTGGGTCCTTTTCCTTCACGTAGTGAAGCGTGCTGGCTAGTGGGTGAACTTTTTGGTGTGAGGTAATGCAGATCACATTGGCTTTTAAAGTAGATATAAGGGCCTTGGAAATGACAGGTCAGGTTTTCCGGTGTCCTCCTCTTAAGTCCCAGAGAGCTTCCATCTCTTTGGAGAGATGTGACGGTTTCCTTGGGGTTGTGGGTTCCCGAGCTGAGCTTTAATGTGGATGCAGAATGCAGGAGTGTCTCCATCCTTCAGCCACCTACAGTGGCAGGACACTAGGGGGACTAGTCTTCTATTCTACCACCAAGGAAGAAAACACAAGGACCCATGTTACAAAAGGTTGTGGTTTATCTTTAGGCTCCTGAACTTGACTTTTTGGTACCTGATATATGCTTGCATGAATGAGTGGATTCCAAATGCTGAATGATGGGCCTGATCACATCTAAAGTGTCATTTCGACAAGTCAGGACTGGTTAACTGCAAAGTTCTGAGTATATGAGTGCTATACATTTCAGGGAGATAGAACCTCCTGCAGACTCCATCCTTTGGGCATTAGACCATGCTAACTTTGTGTTCCCTGAGGATTTGTGATCAGAACTGCCTTTTGTTTTGTTTTGTTTTGTTTTGGACTGCATGTCACCTGCAGTCTTCATAAAAATCCCATAAAATCATCCATCCTAAATGGAGTCTAGAATCAACTCCGTCAAACTTGGAATTTTTTACCGTCATCCCTTAAAAATTCATACCTTGTATTTTTACACATATAACCTTTGACAGTCTGGTTTGCACTTTTGTCTCAGATGCTCTCTACTCTTTTAACAGCATTAGGTCATTAGCGTCTAGGTTTCTTCCAGCAGAATTGGAAGATAATTCTATTTTGCTGAAGAACAAAGCCCCATTGCCCAGGCTTACCTTATCCATGTGGCCAGGTCTTATCAAAGCTGACTCCAGAGGCAGAAAAGGTGAGAGGCAGAGTCCAAGAAGAGATTACCCTGCTCAGAATACTGGCACCAAAAAAGGCAAATGTCACCAAGATTTGAGACTCACAGTTTTCTAAAAGCCCCAACTCAGCATATGGAATTAGACTCAGTGTTTGGAACCTGTGAACCTATGTGAGTTATTACATTTTCCTGAATTCTGGGGTCTGGTAGACGACATTTGTGATCTTTTATCCATATGTGTAGTGCATATTTAGGTAGTTTGAAGGGAGCTATTGTTGTGGTCTAAGGAAAACGGTCAGCATAAAGCTTTATTTCTGCCATTAAAGCTTTATAGATTGATTCTCATAGGTACAGTATAGCCAAGGAGTGAGAGATTGGAGCAGGAAAATACTATTAAATTTGCCATTGAGCATCAACTGGTGAAAACTGGCCTCGGAAAAGATATATACTGTGGTCCTAAGGCATGAATGAAGTCTTGTGAATTTCAGGGAAGCCAGGTGGCAGAGGGAGAGTAAGAAGCTGAGGCAGAATTCTGGTCTTCCTTAGGGTCTCTGAATAACGGGAAGGCATCTTTGAGCCAGAGTTCTCAGAGAGTAGGGAGCACGCAAGATCGGGGGCCGGGGATCGGGGTAAGTAAGTCCCAGGGGACTGAAAACTCCAGGCACCCAGCCACTGACACCCTTGAGCAATACAGCCAGCTCACAGGATCCGCGGGTGGTGTTGAGGCTTTGCGGCTCTCCTCCAGCGCATTTGACATTGAGAGGTCCTCGGGCACTCCCTTCCTCTCTGACCACGTTGACACTTGGAGGGCAGTAGGCGGCAGCCAGTAAAGTTACAACATAAGCATATGTATTTTAGAAGACGTTTCTCCTTTTAACTCAAATAATAATTGACCGTCTATTATGTGGTAGATGCCATGCTCCGCTTGGAGGCTGCAGAGGTTTCACATTTCGTTCAGGGAAGCAGAAGTCCAGGGAACGAACCATTATCATGAGCTAAGTGCTGTTGTATAGGTTTGTGCAAAGGATGAGTTTGAGTTTGCCAGAGGAGTAGAAAGGAAGGGAGTCCCAGCTAGAAAGAACAGCATGGAAACCTTAAAATATGTACTGTGTATGGAGAACAGTCATTAGTTAATGTGGCTGGAAGGTGTTCTGGGAGAGGGGAAGCCTGGTGTTAGAAGGGAGATAATTTAATAGGGTTCCCAATGCTGGGGACTAGCTTCATGCTCCCTGTATTCAAATGGTGACAAGAATGGTTTCTGGATAAGATCCAAGAGTACCAGTTGATTATCCCACATTGTTCATAAAAACAGGAAAAGGAATTTTCTTTTTTGTCCTTTATCCTTCTACATTTAGCACTTTGCCTGTTCTTTAAAGAAACTGTTAGAATGCAAATAAAGGGTCCCTCATCAACAGTAAGTCCACCCTCTTGTGTACGTGCATTCTATCTGGGGCTTTCATTATGTGATTATACAGCAGTGGGAGAAATGACAATGTTACTTGACAAATGATACAGTATGGGGGAAAAGTCCTTCTCTCTGAGAACAAATTCCATTGTGTCCGATGGGCTTCTCGGTAGAGTTCTGGCCACCTTTAGCACTAGACCAAGGTTCTGGTATTTGAGTCAATTCAGTTCTGGCCTAAAGTTTCTTTGCTGTTGGAAAAGGAAGAGTTTAATAATGAGGACGAGTGTGTGTGCATGCCTGTGTGCATACGTGTTTGTGTATGTGTGTGTGTTGATGGATGAGCAAACTGTAGAGTGAAGAAGAAAAGCAACAGTGTAACTGCTGGAGGATGTTAGGGAGAAAGGAAAATCACAGTTGCAGCAGTGAGCCCCAGGGCAAAATATATTTAGTTTTTTTTTCAGATATGGGAGCCAGAGAATGGAGGGAAAAGAAGCCTGTGTGTGTGTTTTGCCTGTATCATCTTTACCTGTGTTGAGGGGGAGGCAGGGTGATTTAAGTAAAATCAGGAGATCTGGGTCTAGTCTTGCATCATCTGTTGCTAACTTGCTGTGTGACATTAGAATACTGCTTGACCTCTCTGGGCTTCAGGCATCGTCTCTGTACATCAGTTCTGTACCTTGCAGCTAGGAATTTAGGGCCCAGAGAGGGAATGGGTTGGCCTAAGTTAGTGGCAAAGCTCCGACTATTTAAGATTTCTAGCTCTGAAACGGGAAGAGGCCTGACCAGTTTAAAGGTGTACTCTACCTTGAAATATAAAACACCATGGGTAGACAGTGCTGAGGAAAAGAAGCGTGAAGTCTTTGCTGTGTTGCTTGTACATTCTCTCATCTCTCTCTCTCTGATATATTAGGCCATTGACACATAAGCATCTAGACTTGCCTGCTAATTTCTTAAGTAATATGAAAACAACTT